ATAGGAGGATATAGAGGAGACTATGGAGGAGAATAATGTATAGGAGGATATAGAGGAGACTATGGAGGAGAATAATGTATAGGAGGATATAGAGGAGACTATGGAGGAGAATAATGTATAGGAGGATATAGAGGAGACTATGGAGGAGAATAATGTATAGGAGGATATAGAGGAGACTATGGAGGAGAATAATGTATAGGAGGATATAGAGGAGACTATGGAGGAGAATAATGTATAGGAGGATATAGAGGAGACTATGGAGGAGAATAATGTATAGGAGGATATAGAGGAGACTATGGAGGAGAATAATGTATAGGAGGATATAGAGGAGACTATGGAGGAGAATAATGTATAGGAGGATATAGAGGAGACTATGGAGGAGAATAATGTATAGGAGGATATAGAGGAGACTATGGAGGAGAATAATGTATAGGAGGATATAGAGGAGACTATGGAGGAGAATAATGTATAGGAGGATATAGAGGAGACTATGGAGGAGAATAATGTATAGGAGGATATATAGGAGATTATGGAGGAGAATAATCTATAGGAGGATATATAGGAGACTATGGAGGATAATAATGTATAGGAGGATATATCGGAGACTATAGTGGATAATAATGTATAAGAGGATATAGAGGAGACAATAGAGAAGAATAATATATAGGAGATTATGGAGGAGAATAATGTATAGGAGGATATATAGGAGACTATGGAGGAGAATAATGTATAGGAGGATATATAGGAGACTATGGAGGAGAATAATGTATAGGAGGATATATAGGAGACTATGGAGGAGAATAATGTATAGGAGGATATAGAGGAGACTATGGAGGAGAATAATGTATAGGAGGATATAGAGGAGACTATGGAGGAGAATAATGTATAGGAGGATATAGAGGAGACTATGGAGGAGAATAATGTATAGGAGGATATATAGGAGACTATGGAGGAGAATAATGTATAGGAGGATATATAGGAGACTATGGAGGAGAATAATGTATAGGAGGATATATAGGAGACTATGGAGGAGAATAATGTATAGGAGGATATATAGGAGACTATGGAGGAGAATAATGTATAGGAGGATATATAGGAGACTATGGAGGAGAATAATGTATAGGAGGATATATAGGAGACTATGGAGGAGAATAATGTATAGGAGGATATATAGGAGACTATGGAGGAGAATAATGTATAGGAGGATATATAGGAGACTATGGAGGAGAATAATGTATAGGAGGATATATAGGAGACTATGGAGGAGAATAATGTATAGGAGGATATATAGGAGACTATGGAGGAGAATAATGTATAGGAGGATATATAGGAGACTATGGAGGAGAATAATGTATAGGAGGTTATATAGGAGACTATGGAGGAGAATAATGTATAGGAGGATATATAGGAGACTATGGAGGAGAATAATATAGAGGAGACTGTGGAGGAGAATAATGTATAGGAGGATATATAGGAGACTATGGAGGAGAATAATGTATTGGAGGATATAGAGGAGACTAAAGAGGAGAATAATGAATAGGAGGATATATAGGAGACTATGGAGGAGAATAATATAGAGGAGACTGTGGAGGAGAATAATATATAGAGGAGACAATAGAGGATAATAATGTATAGGAGGATATATAGTAGACTATGGAGGATAATAATGTATAGGAGGATATATAGGAGACTATGGAGGAGAATAATGTATAGGAGGATATATAGGAGACTATAGAGGATAATAATGTATAGGAGGATATATAGGAGACTATGGAGGAGAATAATATAGAGGAGACTGTGGAGGAGAATGATGTATAGGAGGATATATAGGAGACTATGGAGGAGAATAATGTATAGGAGGATATAGAGGAGACTATGGAGGAGAATAATGTATAGGAGACTATAGTGGATAATAATGTATAGGAGGATATATAGGGATATAGAGGAGACTATGGAGGAGAATAATGTATAGGAGGATATATAGGAGACTATGGAGGAGAATAATGTATAGGAGGATATATAGGATACTATAGTGGATAATAATGTATAGGAGGATATAGAGGAGAATAATATATAGGAGATTGTGGAGGAGAATAATGTATAGGAGGATATATAGGAGACTATGGAGGAGAATCATGTATAGGAGGATATAGAGGAGACTATGGAGGAGAATAATGTATAGGAGGATATATATAGGAGACTATGGAGGAGAATAATGTATAGGAGGATATAGAGGAGACTATGGAGGAGAATAATGTATAGGAGACTATGGAGGAGAATAATGTATAGGAGGATATAGAGGAGACTATGGAGGAGAATCATGTATAGGAGGATATATAGGAGACAATAGAGCATAATAATGTAGAGGAGACTATGGAGGAGAATAATAGGGGACTGTATAGGGTTACATACAGGACAATGCAGAGCAGTGATGAGGGGAATGGCGCTGACGTATATAGAAGCGGATGGTATTCGAGGTCTTTAGAGGCGGATGTTATAGAAGACAATATTATGTCCAATGGAAAGAATGTATAAATGTGATCTATAGGGGAGTGGTGAAGAAGAACATGCTAGAAGGGGCAGATGAAGACACTATACATGGCGGCCATTTTTATACTCTGCGTGCCATAGACAGAGCTGGGAAATGAAAGTGTTTTCTCCCACGATGCACTAGGACCTGTCCCTGCTCTGCTCCTGCATTATGTTTGTGGTACGGTACCCTGTACCACAAATGGTACAGGGTACCATTTGTGTCTGATGGTGTTGGGCTTCTATTAGCGGTTTTTCCCTGCCAGGGAAAGGTGATTGGTGATTGGCTGTGCACATGGATTTCAGGAGCATCCTATATGGCGGTGTGTACAATGATCTTGTGCTCTGGATCAAGTATGAAGCTGATGCGGCGACCTGAACAACCTGATATGGTCGGCCCTTTCATCTTTTTGGGCCCTATGGGTGATATCCCTGTGCTGAGTTCCCGGGTCTGTACACCTGCTGTGCCCATTATGAGGGGCTCCCACCATCCCTGTGCTGAGTTCCCGGGTCTGTACACCTGCTGTGCCCATTATGAGGGGTTCCCACCATCCCTGTGCTGAGTTCCTGGGTCTGTACCCCTGCTGTGCCCATTATGAGGGGTTCCCACCATCCCTGTGCTGAGTTCCTGGGTCTGTACACTTGCTGTGCCCATTATGAGGAGCTCCCACCATCCCTGTGCTGAGTTCCTGGGTCTGTACCCCTGCTGTGCCCATTATGAGGGGCTCCCACCATCCCTGTGCTGAGTTCCCGGGTCTGTACACTTGCTGTGCCCATTATGAGGAGCTCCCACCATCCCTGTGCTGAGTTCCCGGGTCTGTACACCTGCTGTGCCCATTATGAGGAGCTCCCACCATCTCTGTGCTGAGTTCCTGGGTCTGTACACCTGCTGTGCCCATTATGAGGGGCTCCCACCATCCCTGTGCTGAGTTCCCGGGTCTGTACACCTGCTGTGCCCATTATGAGGAGCTCCCACCATCCCTGTGCTGAGTTCCCGGGTCTGTACACCAGCTGTGCCCATTATGAGGGGCTCCCACCATCCCTGTGCTGGGTCTGGGACGGTTTGGAGAGGACATTGGATAACACGGGGTTGGAGATTGGACGGAGGTTGTATAACCAGATTGCACGCTGTATGTCTGGCGTTATACGTGGGCCCTTTGCATGCAATCAGTGAGATTGTACAATCAGATTGTATTGTGTATGTCCAGCTGTTGGGGCCCCGATCGGACTGATGCCGTGATTAGACATGGAGGAATCGTCCTCATTGAACCGGAAGGAGCTGAGGGACCATCCACTTGGGTCTGCATAGCGCTGTGTACAGCAGTGGGTGAGATTGCGCAGAGATTGGATGGTGTGTGGTCAGCACACTTTTCATTAAACTGTATGGTTCCTTTCCTGGTCACACCTCGGGAGGTATCGTCCTCCACTGTCCCTCGTCCTCCAGTTATGTAAGCAGCGGGGGATCGGGGGGATATGCAACCCAAAAAAAAGGGGGGACTCTGATAACAATCACCTCACAGGTCAGGGGGGGCGAGGAGAAAGTTTGGCAGGGA